TCCTTAATTTATAAATTGATCACGACTGAAACACGCTGCTGTGCAAATGACCGAAGTCATTTTTGTTACGTCTGTGGACAGTTTACTACAAAGTCGCAGTGCAGATCCATTTCTTCACAACTGAAGTCTACCTACCACGGATATTTAGGCATGAAATTGGGAGATCAGCACACGGAGTGGGCGCCGTACATCGTTTATGTGTAATACGATCGTCAGCTGACTCAGTGGCTTAACGGTAAAGGCAAGATGCCCTTTGCAATCCCCATGGTGTGGAGGGAGCCGAAGGATCACATGACAGATTGCTAGTTCTGACTAACCAGTGTCATTGATATCTTTAACCGAAACAAGGACAAATTCTTTACCCCAATCTTTCATCAGCTACTCGACCTGTTACTCATGACTGCACCTTACTCATTACAGTGCCTCCAGTGAACATCTTTCTACTGTCTTACTGATGTCAAACATTAGGTTTATCACAGGACTAAGTCCAAGCTTTTATCTGCCCTGCTTTTGCTTTCAATCCCCAAGTAGCAAATTTGTCTGCGGTCTGTACAGTTTCACAATCAAGCTGTGTTCGGTGGTTCATAAGATCTTAATTTACTAGTCATGCCTGGATTGGGATGGATGGACATTGCCGAAAATAAACCTCTATTTATTCTTTATTGATATGGCATCAGAAGATTTTGTGGAATTTGAAAAGCACAATTAATAGACAACCTTCCGCACATGCATGCATTTCGTATCGTCTCATCAGTGCGGATAACGATAAGCGGTAATTTTATACAACAGTTTGTGGGTTGGCGGCATACGGTTTCGGATTTGCCTGTCACTGTGGCCAGCCACAGGACGCCTGCGCCTACAGAGGGACCATGGGTGGCTTGCGCTGCACCACCCACCTCTCCAACCACACACCCCATGTCCAGTGTAAACCCGAAGGAATAAGACCGGGAGGCATGTGGATGGGAGCCACGTTTCATCAACGGAGCCGGCCCACCCTCCTTCACAGGCAAACACAAGCACGCTGTAGTTGGGAATCAAGCGCACACACAAGGCGGTGGCTGGACCGTAGTCCGCTCCACATTGAGTGCATGGAACCGCTCTTTGAGCCTAGCACGGCCACAAGGACCGTGCACTCTGTCTGCTCCAGCAACGACCAACTGTCTCCTAGAGCCAGTATGAACGAGGTAGTGGGTAATAGACAGGTAGGCACCTTGTCAACATGCACATCAAGCGCAGCCACACCTGGGATGTCAAACAACAGTCAATCATTCGAAATGCCAATATCATAGAAAAGATATCGGATAAAGTAAACCTAGATGACGACATAAGTACTCGCCAAATTAGCATATGGAGTAAATTGGTTATAAGCGAATCTGCGATAAGTATAAAATGTCCGAAAGTTATTTAAAAATTACCACGTGATAAAGTTACGCAAGGTTACCACAATTAACATGAGCGACGGGTGCAAGTTAGGAGAAGATTATCAAGTACGCAGAACAAAAAATATAAAGTGGAATGCATTTTATCCACATTAAAATGACCTAGTTTAAGTGTAAGTTGATCTAGCCCAACTGCGATGAAGAAGCGGTTTGTGCGTACAGACATACATACAAACAAACGAGAGAAAAATGGGGTGTCTTTGTTCTACAACCACGGCAGCCTGAGGCTGACAGATAATTGTTTTTGCACACAAAGCACTGGCTTAATCCGATTAATGGCAATAGCCTCAGCAAACCGGAGGAGCCGGGAATTGGAATGGCGAAGCATGATCCTAAACGCCCTGTTAACCACGATTCGGTGACCCGATGTCCATAAGTGTCTGCCGATGGAAGATGCTGGCGGCCTGCGAACACACATAGTATGATTTGGGCTTGCTTGCTGAATAATCCCACACTGAACCCATTTTAGTACATGCTCCTTTATTCGGTACCTCAGTGTTTTATTGGTTCTGCCTATGTAACTATCCCCGCAGTTACATAGGAATTGATATACGCAGTGGGAGTTGGCCCCAATAGGTTGAATTTCCTTTAGTGGAGGCAACGGTAGTGTCTGAGTTCGGACCATGATTACAAATTCGGCAGCACAGAACGTGTTCTCTGTGGAGGAAATCAGACGTGTTGTAGTCCTCAAAGAAGCGATGTCACTTTTAAAGGGCAGCTGTAAGAATACGATTTTCTTAGGTACGTTAGGTACTGCAACTTTATTTCACGAATTTGGTTGTGTTTCCGGAAAAATTTTCGAGGGTAGCCATTAGCAATTAGCGTGTTGGTAATTAGTTCTAGTTCATCAGCTGGACAATCGGTCGAATATATTCGTCTGGCGCGACTAAACAGGGTCATCACAAACATTCGCTTGAGCCGCATTGGGGTGAAGCTGGTAAAATGCAGATACTCTGCCGACCACGTTGTTTTTCGGTCGACATACCTTTTCACCAGTCCGTTCTCCCGGCGCCTGATGAGGACATCTAAATACGGAAGACAGTTCTGTTGTTCGACTGCAGGAATTACTCAAATATATATATATATATATATATATATATATATATAATGCAAGCCAACGACACTTATTAAATGCTCCCTGATATTATAAAGAAATAACGGGATTAGCACTGCCCAACACTCCGCTTTGGATGTCATCTTTGCGGACACGCTTGTACCAACCGACCATAGCAATAGTTAATAGTCGCCAAGTATCAGGGTTAAAAGCGCCTCAGCTCCCCAGACCGAAGGGACCTGGTTTTACTATCATCGCTTAGGATGGCCTTCACTGTGGTACTGTGAATACGAACTTTCAGATAGGGTGAAACTTTCTGATGCAGATGCACGAAGGCAGTTCTCGCTTTTGCAATACGTGAACTGATTTCAATGATTTTGCGTCCATTGTTGCTGCGCATCTGTCAAATTAAGTGAATATATGATCAAGTACCTCGAGTTCCTCGCTATCAACGGTTAGTGGCTCATTAAGTAGCTAGTAGTTCTGCAACGACACTTAGCAATTTGAAGATGAGAGTCGCATGTTAAATGATGGGACCAGTCTAGAGAGGTTATCCAGGGTTGATTGTGCTTCCCCAAAATTGTTAAACAGCAAGACATCGTCCGCAGAAGCGCAATCAACAAGTTTTTCACCAGGTAACGCCAATGCCAGCTTCCGTAAGGGTGTCCACTACTACACCACGGACATAAATCGGTAGAAACTACAGTGAATTTTCCCAAGAAGAAGTTGCCAAAAGCTAGGTAGTAGCGATACAACTAACACCCTACCTGGTGCCACGTCGACACAGTGTGACTCGACTGCAGTGACATATGATTTGAGCAACAGCACCCAGGACTCACTTCAGTGACCTCTAGCTCAAATACACGCTACACAGAACCGTACTTGAACCAGACATAGCCAGAACAGCCAATAAAATTTACCTGCATCTCACGACGTCCGATTTGGTTTACAGTAGCCAAACGGAGTGATCGGATATCGTACTCATCATCTGCACTCAGCTGTCACCAAGTATTTTTGTATGACCGGAATGGCAAACTAATTTTGCGCCAGCTTGATTTCGCACTTTTGTATCCGTTGATGGAGTTTGTCATATTCAATTTCCCTTCGGACACACTGCGACCAGTGCAACCAGCGGAATAAGCCGCGCCATACTTTTCCGCACTGAAAACTTCCAACAGGCGATTGCAAACACTCATTTGGATGCGTACTATCGAGAGGTACTGTGATCACCTGATCAATGTTCAAGCATCACCTGCACACCAAGTGGCCTTCAACTGTGCTGGCACATGAATTGGAATAGCGCTCAACTTCCCTGCAATGGTAGGACTTGCAGGCAAAGGCAAAGGTGTACGCAGTGTTTCTGTCTGAAAATAACCGTTGCTACTGCATGACAGTTCGGTGAGCTTAACTCATTGCATCATGCAGGCTTCCAATGTCCTCGTCTCTGGGACATCAGTGAGCCATTGAGAGCTTGTTGCTGCATCATCCGACGGAGTCGCTTTGTCTCGTTACCAGGTGTGTGTGGGCGCCCATCTTGTGGCCCCGTCATCGGTGTCAAGCAGTGTCAAGCTGAACACTAAAAAGGTCTGACCAATGTGATTGGACGATACGTCAGTGTTAAGTCACTTGGTGCTACAGTCTACGCTGATTCACTGTCCTTTGTTCGGGTACTTCACGTCTGGCATTTTCTAAACTCTACGTAAGCCTAATGACAGGATTGTGAAAGGCGGTTATGCGTGCATTAGGGCTGCCTATCACAGTACATTTGTGCATATTTTAGCCTAATTAGACAGTGACAACTGCGCGCACTTTCACCATCGATTTCTTTACAGGATTCATCGAAATGTCACAATCGAATAGCGAATGTCCGCTTAATGGAGACTTCCGAAAATTTGTTGAATTGGTTGCAGAGGCTGTGGTTGTCGCTCGGGAACAGTCACATCGGTCTAAGTCGCAACAGGGGATATGGCCACCAGGTTTTCATCGGCGGAAAAACGATTTTGATCGAGTATGTGCCTTGATGCGGCTGCCTGCGGTTAGTCGGTTCTCCTTGTCACCAGGTGAGTCTGTCCACATTGGATTTCCCTTTGGTTCCACCAAATCACTGCAAGGTGCGTAGAATGAGATCCAGTTTTGTAACGATGGGTTCGACATAACTTAAGCATTGTTCGTCCGCACAGTGCTTACCGTATATGCTGTACCCATCGTCCGTAGTACACGAGCCAGTGTAACGAGTGGTTCTCTTTCTTGTTGACGCTTTTATTTTGCTTGTGTGATTGCAGAGGAAATCTTACAATGTGTATATTTAGGGGACTCAATGTTCATACGTCCGTAAGAACTGGAACTGATTGGGTTCTGGCTCAACAGGGTAACGAAGACTATTCTAATAGTCAGTACATGGGATACGTTAAAACAGTTCATGATCTTCTGTTTATCTTTCATGGCGAAGTTCAAGGACACCCACCTTTATGTTGGAAAATTTACTATGATGTCTGTACAACAATCACATGCAAAGTAACGGGTATCACAGTTCTCATTTTTTTCTAATTTTTCGAGCCTCTGAAAGTGAAGCTTGTCAAGATGGATTGAAATCAGATGAAGTAGCACACAACCATCGGAACAAATCGCTTGCTAGCCGTGGTGAAATGCTCACTAAGCTAGATTCCAGTACAGAAGCGATCTTCGCCGCGAACACCACCGGATGTCGATCAATGGGGTATAACTGCAGATCGCAGTTGCTGCAAAGTTTGGCAGCCAATGAAGCGGAATTGGGTGACCTAACACGTTGCTTTGAAGTAAGTCCCAATTTTGTCCGTTTCGCGTTGGAAATCAATTACGTCGATTGAAATATTTTGGGCTGCCCTGCAACACCGGCCTTATGACGAAGACCTGATGACTCAAACGCCGAAATTTTGTCTTGAGACACCGTTTCTGAGCGGTGATATGTGACCTTTTTTGCAGAACGATCCACCAGTGGTTGAACGCCGGAATTTGCTGCATCGTCGCGGCATCGCTCTACGGAAACTCGGTCAGTTTCATGAGGCACGTGCGGCATTCCTAGAGGCAAAGTTCGCCACGCGATTCAGATGCTCCGAGGACGTTCCGGAAAGTGTGCTCGACGAGAATTTGCGGCAGTGTGACAATCAAGACTCCTCGGATCGGAACATGCATCCTCCGCTGATTTTCCATTCCAAACCATCGACTGGTTTTCAGATCACCGAGAACATCTCATTCACCGACTGCATTTCCCAAGAGCCAGGGTCATTCCGTATTCGCTCCAACGGTTTGTTGGGGTGGAACCTTGTGGCGAATAGGGATATTATTCCTGGTAGGTTTCTTCGGTTTTGTCTTTATGGCATTGGCATGTGAGTAGGGGGGTTTGATTGAATATCAATGTGTTCGGAGAAATAAGATAGATTTTTTTCAATTAACTGTTGTTCATTGATTGACGTAGTCACCATGGGTAGTACACTAATATCAGTTTAAAATAACACGTAGATGCTTGATGAAATTGAATTTGCATATGAAAACTTTCGTCCCACCTTAGATGCTTGCATCTAATAAAGTTCGTCTTATTTCCGCACTTTTCAAATGTCTGCAGGGAACCAAGTGCTTTAAATAAACCACTGTTTTATTCCCCGACTGTGCGAGACTGTTCCCGCAAGGAATCAGATTCATAGGTAAACAGTTGTGTTTCACATACGTTGGCATCCAACATAGAATTGACAACAATTCATCCCAGTATGCAGAGTTTACATATGAGCAGGTTATCTCACCTTCGAATTATGTGTGTGGTAAGCTCATATCAGTAACACCCATAGATTGTTTTGACTGATAGGGGTCGTTAAGTACGCCTGGAAAAATTGCTGGGGAATTGGTGCCTCATATATATGAAAAGGCATTTTTAGTTCAGCTTTCTTCACTCCCCATGTTAATTTTGGTCCCTTTAATGAATATGATCATATTCCAAAGAGGGATTCTGTCACGACTTTCCGTAAGGTAAAACTTGGCGATATAGTTATGTTTTGTACTACTCGAAGTAACTCGCTTTCAGAAAAAGTAACAGGATACGATAATCATTCATTATGCCCAAATAAGATGTTGACACTATTCTTGAATACCCTATCCCATGAATGAGATGCCCATAGTATGGGCATAATATTTTCCCGGCGAGATATTTCTTGACAGACTTTTGAAACTCATGCGGTTTACCGTTATGCATTACGTGTACTGTACTGGCCAATCGCGTCGTTTTATTTGGTGTCATTTGGTTCTGAACGCCGCATACGATCGTGGTAATTTTTAACTAGTTATCTATTAGCCATATAATAAAACAATGGCTTTGTACGGATGTAAAAGCTGAAGTTGAAGAGGTCCTGTAGGATGGTCCTGGTTTAACTTCAAAAAGTAGATCAATTGTAATTCAAATTGGGTTTATAGCGGGGATCTCACTGAGGTGTACGTAGTTTAAGCTGTAAATCTGGGGTGAATCCATAAAGAATGACGGTAGATAGAATCTTGTTAAAAGTCCTGTCCCCTGGTGTAAACACACAAGTAAACACTTGGAACAATAGCTGGGATTTGACCGCCAGTGAAATCTCTTACAGACACTTGTGTTTATCCATATGTGTTGTCATGTGTGATGGTGCAGCCGAATGAGTGCACGGTCAACTCGGGGTTTAAACTCTGCTTGCTTGGCAGCACACATAACAGGTTCCAGTAGGGCATTACCGTCCTGCAAATGAATACGGAAAAGAAATTCCGACAGCATTTCAAACGACTGTACTGCTCTATCAGCTTGTGGTCGTGGCCTCACAGATCACTGTTGTGACTGAGCCCCAGCAAATGGTGGTTAGTTGAAATGAAGTCCCCGCGCAAACGCCAAGCACTTGAAGACTTCGTTTATACAGAACATTAGCAGGTTTGGTTGCCCGGCTTTGGGGTATCTCCAATGCAGTGAGATCGCCTCAGCCATGACTGTCAAATCTGTATTGTATATTCCACATGTATGAGTCTAGAATCTGTGGGGAAATCGGAGGGTCGTGTGGTCAGAACGCATGCTGCAGGAGGCTCACATATTTGATGCTCTGCCTTGACGACGTTTTAGCCTTATTCCAATAACCATGGTCCATCTGAAATGCTACTCAGATCCTTCTCACCAGATGACGTTTGTAGCTCTTGGTTGCCAAGTTAGTGGGAGCAAAACAACTTGTGTCGTAAGTGCAGAATTTTACATTTGTGCACATTGAATCAAAGTAGATTCCGGATTGACTACACGTATACCCTATCCGGATCAGTTTGTAATACCGTGATATAATCTGGTGTATTGAGCGCCCTCCACACCTTGATATCATTCGCACAAAGAAGGCAGTCCAAGCTAATAAGGTGTGTGATATGGTTGATGCACATAAAAAATAACCGTGGTCCCAGCACCGAATCTTGTGGTACTCCGCATTCAACAGGGATAGGATCTGCTAAGGATCCGCATACTCATCTCCAAGCGCCGGTGTAGAAGAAAGCTTTTGAGCCACCCTCGAGAGGATCATCAATGTCGAAGATTTGGAGTTTGAAGAGCAGAATGTCATTGTCTAACCGGTCGGAAACCCTTGTTAAGTCAAGAAAAATCACAGCAGCATCTGTGCCAGAGTTCGCTGCCTCGGTCTAGCTGTATCATGCTAGTAACGGATTTGCATTACCCGATCGAGTTCGTCGGAAGCCATGCTGTTCCGGTGCGAGATAGTTGCATTCTTCCAGGTTGGCCGTTAGCGCATCAGCAACGATGACTTCCATGACATTTGAAAGTACCGGTAGTAAGATTACGTGACGGTGGTTGACTGTTTCAAAACGACTGCATCCCTTGTGAGCTGTAGTAACCATCCCGTTTTCACATATCATGCACGTACATTTCATTAAAACAGTGTTGGAAGAATCTAGACAAAGGTTCGGTTAAAATTTCTCCTATGGCCCCTAGCGAGTTCCTGTGTATATTTTCAACTCCAGGAGGGCTCTGCTTACGCATCCTCAACAGTTATTTTTCTACAGCTTCTGCCGTGAAGGCTATTTGAGTGTGTTTAAGGTAATAGAGTAATGTGGCCAGTGATCGCACTGAAATGTTGCAGCATATTGTAGGCGTAGAGAATTTACTGCCTAGTTCGGTGTCCCTGTGAGTCCGTCCGCTGGTTGAAGAGGAGAAGTTCTCCGCTTCACCATACTTAGACTTTTGAAGTATTGATACAGAAGCTTGTGTTTTGAGGTCATACGCACTGCAAACTCCTGATGGTACGCCATTCGATCCTCGCATACAACCTGTGCAGTGGTTAGGTTCGGTCACACAGGCCATCCAGCTCTCGGGGCTTGGAAAGAATTTGTAGGGACAACAAATCGAGTTTCACACCGCTATACACGTGCGTGTGCTGCTTTGCACAAACAGATCACGTTTCTCGGACGGAAGGTCTTATATGCTGAAGCTTCTGCGCCCAGAGTGTTAAACTGACTGACGAAATGTTCCCATGCACTAGCTGGTTCCTCGTCTGGCAATAAGGTCAAGTTGGCTACTTCACCTAGTAGAGATAATAAGTCGTAGCGTATAATCGTTTTTGTTGCGTCAACAATTTCCACGGGATATTCTGTTTGGCAAGCATAATCGAAGAGTAAAACTGCGTGATCGCTGTGGCCCAATGGAAGTAGAAGATAATCGTCTGGAGTATCAGTTCTTCCTTGGTGAGTATCCGCTCCAGTATTGACGGCTTATTTATTTCTCGGAATCGGGTGGGAGTGTTGTTGAGGACAAATAGCAGGAAGCCGGAAACTAACTCTCATAGATCGACCCAAAACTGTCCTCCGGAAGCTGTTTGGGATTCCAGAGCATGGATAATGAAATCGCCACTTACGAGAATGTGACTGTAAGTTGTGCGGATGCCAGATAGAAGTACTTCTAGGGCTTGGAAGAAGGTGGGGGTAAATGACCGCCACTAAGCGAGTGTTGTCGCCACCTAAACATAGAAGGCATCAAAAGGAATCCTGTACCTTACTGACCAGATCCTCTACTGGCTCACGCTGGAGGTCACTGTGGAATTACTGAGATACTCCACTAACTTTACTAGGTCCGTCGTGTCGAACAATGAACATATCTGGCGTTATGACCTCGATGTCACTTATGGCAATGCGTAGGCAAGTCTCAGTTATAGCAGTGAGGTCGCAGGATATTGATCCTTGACACAGAAACATTTCGGAAAATTTACTCAGTAATCCTTGAGCCTTGGTGTACATACAGAAAAGCTTCTCGGATGTCAAAAGCTGTTGACTAGGAGCAAATGTGGGATGTGCACTTGTGCCGATCGATGACAGGCGGGCACCTAATCGTCTTTTGGATGAACTGCCATATCTCGATATGAATATTATCTGTTTTTGGCTCAAATTTCACATGCTGTATGTGGTCCATGGGTAGCTTTCTCGATAGTCAAGGGTCATAGCGCACTGGCTTCTGAATCGCTGTTGTGGTTATGTTGAGTTGTGTGTGGTGTATTTTCCGCGAGAACAGGGAGTGATTGCGGCTCTCTATTTAATGTCTTCAGTCGTAGTTCCGATGGAATTTTGTTACATAGGATCTGCCAGCTACTGATTAAGTTCATCGTCATCTGTTGCGACTACACCGTTAGTTTTAGTAATCTCGGGCTATTGCTTCTGTAGCTTGGTGACACGGGTATTCGCGTAATCGACCGAAGTGTAACATCGCTCGCACAGAGAGGTTCACGGATGTAATGCAATTATCCCAGGTTAGGAAGGTGAGCTTCTTCGTCGCTCGGTGTCGGTAGCTCGGACATACTATAAACAAAAACGATGCTTTTGCTACTCTCCGTGTAGTGGTCCTTTGAATTATTTTCCTTCGGCGGACGTTCGCTCCATGGGACATACGGAAATATGCGTATCTCACGGTTTTCAGTCCGCAGGCGGTTTGCCGAAAAAGTCACCGTCTTGACATCGTCCGTTGATCCCAATGTTACTCGCATTAATAGGGACTCCACGCTATGAATCTAGGTTGGGTGTCTGGTTATGCGCATTATACTAGTCGGACTGGATTCAATTCAAATTTTAGCACAAAGGAAATTAAACTGCTTTAAACTATCCGGCATTTTACGCCTTAAAGTTTTTGTCTTTGACTTAGGAACATTCGTGAAAATAAATGGCAAGGCCTCGTATTTACGTCTTGTTTTCGGTGGTGTGTGAAGCACGCATATCGAGGGATTTAGTGACGTCTCTGCAGTTTGCACCTTGCTATGAGCAGTTTTGCAGCGATATTCGGTGAGGCTACTGAGGTCGCAATTTACTTATACCGAGTAGCCAAATTTACTTAGGTGGATCGAACTGTAGAGCGCTTCGGATTTCTTTGGTCAATTGGAAGGGCGGGTGTTACCGATGTTGCAGCAGTCGGTACATTAGACAAAAGGATGTGAGCGTTGGAGCTAGGCATGCCTCTATTGGTCGCGACGTCGACTTTGTTCTTGGTTCCGAAGGTTCCTGGTACGGCGCAGCCGTGTGAACGTCTAGCCCTTTCTCGTGGCTTCAAGGTAGCAATTAGGGGAATAGGATGAGGTGCAACGGGTTCTATAGACTATCGAACTTTTGTGTTAACGCTAGTACACATTTTACTAGTAGAACCGTCGTGCACTTTGAACAAAACCAAAGTAAACCCGGACTATTATATCGTTTTGTGTCGCTTCTACAGACCTTGACACACGTCGAATGGTACCGGCTAATGCAATTTGTACAAGTCAACCCGGCTTTTACTACCCTAGTACAAGTTTGCTTAGCACACCAGTGATTAGCCCACCAGTGTTGTGAGCTTGATGACCGAATGGCCGCTGCTTGTTGTGAGGCTAATTGTCGCGTCGTCGTCTCGTAACATTTGGCTACCGACGGTCAGGTCAAGATCAAATTACTGGCTCATCGTGCTTTGTGTGTTCCGTGCGTGAGTCGTGCGATCGCTCTTAAGGTGTCTGTTGTAGACATTTATCGTGCTGGGCATGTTGCTTGATGGCACCTGCTGAAATGAGGATCGACGAAAGTGGCTGGTTGCTCTACCGAGAGGGTTTCACAGTAGGAACGTAGTGTGCTCTGCAGCAGTAAGACACGGTGCTGGAATGAGGCGAATGAAGGCTTGATAGAAAGCTGAGAGACTCCTCAATCGAAAGAAGTCGAAATCTTGGGTGTGTGATTATAACTGCAGCAATTTCACGAGTGAACTAGAGTGAGAAGTTTTCCAAATTTGTATATCCGGTGGAAACAACCTCTGCTGTCAATATTCCACAGAAAATGGCTTCAGTAGTTGGAGCTCAACATCGCAATGAAGCTGGATCTTACCGTGGTGCGATGGTTTGTTTGCCTCAGTGATCCACTGAGCCATGCGGGGTGGTGCTTTCTTGTACCTTCAGAGCCACTCATACCAGAATGGTCAATGGTTAGAGGCCAGACAAACTCAGCCTCCTGGTCCTCCAATAAGGGTGGCTCCTTATTCCCTAAAACGGACTCCTTGTAGCCCAGTGCCAAACCCGCTGCCTTGCGGTCAGGTTTTTGAACCAAGGGCTTTGTTTGAGAATCCTAATCGTTATCCTGTCTAGGCCTGGGCAACCTGACAGTATCCTGACCAGGCAATCCAATGAATTTCTGTTAAAACAAATTTCTCCTGCTCTGGCCACCGCAGAGGATAATCAACGGTGCCCTATCTGCTGCATCGAGCAGGGTGGATAAGGGTTTGGATACTACTGTTCAAGCCTTCCCATCTTCTTATTCCCCCTCTTACGCCTTTGCAATCTTACCGCCCCGTAACAACTTCACTCATATCCCCCATTTTCAACCCCCCGATTCTTGGCCCTCCCCCAACATGGTTTGATAGGCGTTTATCTTCTAATTTCAACTCATATGCAACTGCGAATCGTCACTCCTCTCCTGTCGACAAGTCCATGTCCAACCAAGCGGTCCATTCCCGTTCATCTCGTTCCATTTGGTTACTTTTTGCTGCACAGTAGCTGAGGTGTTTCTCACCTCTAGCTAACGTGTATAATGATGATGATGAGCTCATCAAACCGAGACGTAAAGGGGTAAATCCGGCCACTTGCGACAAATGCCACGCAGTAATTGAGGAACTACGCGGAGCACGATATGGAGCGGTCGCCGTCACATAGTTGACCGTGGTTCAGGTACATACTCTATGTCACCAACTGAAGAGCACTGTTATAATCCGACTGTATCATGTGATGGTTCAGAAAAGACAGTTGCGAATTTCGCTATTTAACGGTCTGTTTTATTCCAGCTATTCAACATTAAACGTGGAAGCTACTGTCTGGGTTGGTTCTTCCATCAGCAAGTTAGTGAGCTTAGTTAATAATTATTCGAGTAATTGTGCTAAAAATTCTCTGCGTGAAATGACAAATGTACCTGGGACACTAACTCAATTGTAGACTAGAAAGCTAACCATCATTGTGAATACAAGTTCATATGTGGACAATTCTCAGTGCAACCGAGGTTAGCTTTTGTAATCTATGGAGGTTAATGAGGTTGTTGCAGTAGCTTCAAATGCAGAAACTGATGTGGTTTATCGTGCGTTAGTGCTCATTCTGTTTGCATTTTAACTCGCTTGGCTTGCACTCTTTTTTCAGGAGAATTGATCGCCGCCGAAAAACCATACGTTCGTGTTCTGAACCCAGGCAAGGAGCTACGTCATTGCTACCACTGCTGCAAGCGATCACTCAGTTTGATCCCATGCCGAAATTGTTCCGAGGTGAGTTCCCGTATAGTCACTTTCTAAGTGCACTACGTTTGAATGGCTGCAAATGTGGGTGCCAGTTGAATTGAGAGGTTTCACATTGCTGTTTTTACTCGAAAAAGTCGATACCGGCACTCGAAAGAAAGAAAAGTATTTCTGATTCTAACGGGAGATTGCACTCAGGAACGATCAGGTCACACAGTTTAGATATTACTGTTTTTACGTTGATGTAATATGTAAGGTAGAACAAAGAATAAGTGCACAAAGTAAGAGTTGCATGATGCCTTTATCTCACTCCGTTTAGTGGAAGTTGCAACCTCATTGTAAGGATCACTGAGCTTAAGGCAGCAAACTGCTATGATATCCTGAAGTCTTAAACTTATCTAGGCATTATTCTTCTATTAAAGGCAGTATCTAAATGTGTGGTAATAGCTCTTCGCCTGCTTGTTACTTGCGCAATGCATTTATAGCTTAAACGGGGTTCGCAAAATAAAATGAAGAAGGATGGTTTATGCTTTGATTGCTGAATATATGCATACAAACTGCATAAATGTGGACACTAGGGAGTAGAAAAACTAAAGGAATTGTTAGCACCATTAGTTGCCATTGGATATATTTATTAGGACGCTTTGTGACAGTTGGCATTAATAAGGGCTTCTCAGATATATCAAATATTTAAAGCAATCAGTTCCATTCACCACCATCTAAAGCTGAGGTTACCCATGCGCTTCAACTTTTAAGGCGCTACAACGCTCTTGGCCCAGATGAACACCTTCCGGCTTTTCTTAAATATGGAGACCCATCATTTGTTCAGGTGTTAAATTTGCTCCTCCAAGAGATCTGGGTTACTGAAGTTATCCCATTTGTTTGGTGCCTAGCGAATATCATGCCCTTCTTCAAAAAGGGTACCTTAACTGACTGCGCCAACCAGAGAGGAATTAGTCTCATCTGTGTTACTTCCAAGCTGCACGCAGCTTCGCTATTAAAGAGGCGCAACGTTGTTCTCGAAAAGAGCATACTTAAAAAGCTAACTAGATTCCGTTCAGGTCAGCGTTGCAATGATCACACATTTACACTCCGCTAAATACTCGAGCGTCGTCAAACATTCGGCCGGCCAATGATCATTGTCTTCTTAGGCATACGAAGCGCGTTTGACTCAGTTGACAGGGCTGCTCTGGAGTTGTCTACTGAGAATCGGAGTGCCCGAGAACTATGTCATCTTACTTTAAGCCATCTACTCTCAAACATCGAGCCGGGTGCGTGTGTATGACGGACTTTCTCCCCCTTTGTTATCACCAGCGGCGTGAGACAGGGTTGCCTAACACCATCCTACTTGTTCAATTTCGATTTGGACGAAACCCTTGAGGGTGCTCTAGAGAACTGCAAACCCTGGCGTCGAGCTGCTTCCGGGACCGACTTCGGGATTTGGAGTATGCAGCCGTGATCTGCGATTCCTCACAGGCCGCCCAAAATGTCTTGTGTAGGTTGGAGGAGACTGTCCCTGTATGGAATGATCTTCGCACCATCAAAGTGCAAGCTCGTCCTGCCGGACTGGTCATTTGTTGGGAGTAGTAGACAAGTTCGTTTACCCCGGAAGCTGCCTCAGCGCCAAGGGTTTAACGGTGGAGGTCTCTTTGTGCGTCTCCAAAGCTTGGGATTATTTTGCTAAACTCCACCATCTCTGGCGTCGAGGCGATCTGAGTCTAGCTCTGAAGGGCCGAGTTTACAATGCCACTGTGAGAGCGGTACTGTTCTACGGCTACGAGACTTGGCCTGTTTGCGCAAAAGATGTTGCGTGACTGTCTGTTTTTGATCACCGCAGCCTTCGGAGCAGTGCTGGTCTACGATGACAACATCACACTAGCAAGGAAAATATACGACGGAGAATTTTCAGTTCAGAAAAACTTTGCCTGTTACTGAACAGCAAAGGTATACTGCGCAGACTTCATTGGCTTGGGCTTGTTATTCCAATGCCTGCTCGTTGTCTACTGGCCGACCCTCCTTCGCGCGCGCAGTCGGCTGGAAGCGTAAGCAAGTTGGCCAACGTATGACTTTGGCTAGGAGCATGAAGGAGCGGATGTCAAATTTAGGGGTGGTTGGCTGCTCCCGCTTCCCTGGATGCAGCGTGAAGGATCAGGAACGCGCATGGCCGGAAAAACTTTCCTATATGAGAAGTAACCGTGCGCAATGGCGGACATGTTGCGACGCCCTATTCCTAAATGGTTACGGGTATTCGGTTTCGGAATTGTCGGTTCCTGTGACCAGCCACAGGACGCCTGCACATACAGAGAGCCTATGCGTGGCTTGCGCTGCACGGTCCACAGTTCCACTCACACACCACATATCCGGCGAAAACCCGAAGGAAAAAGACCGGGTGAAATGTGGATGTGAGCCAGGTTTCATCAACGGAGCGGGCTCACACTCCTTCACAGGCAAACGAAGCACGCTGTGTGTGGGGAATCAAGCGCACACACAAGGCGGTGGCTGAACCGTAGTCCTCTCCATACTGAGTGCATGGAACCGCTCTTCGAGCCTAGCACAGCCACAAGGACCGTGCACCCCGTCCCCTTCAACAACGACCAACTGTCTCCTGGAGCCAGTAGAGATGAGGTAGTGGATAATAGACAGATAAGCACCTTGTCAACATGCCAATCAAGCGCAGCTACACCGGAGATATCAACAAACAACCAATTACTGGAAACAACAAGATGAATTAAAATAAATCGGATAATGCATGAGCGTATAAAAATGATCACGAACGAATCCGCGGTAAGTTCAAGAGGTCAGAAAACATTTTTAAGGAAATGCCACAAACGCAAATACGTTAACGAAATTAACTACAAGTAGCTTCAGTAACGTGTGCAAGTCTAGAGAAGATAGTACAGGTAGATAATAATATGAGAAACATAATCATCCGGACAAAATTGAAAACCAACCACCTGAAATAAAAGGACTTAGCATGCAAGCACTCGGTTAGTAAATGGAATGCAGCGTACCTACAAACGCTGCGCCGGTTCTGCATGCGTTGTCTGCAGGACCTGTCCTCGTTTCCATGGTAGCACAGAGTGTCTTATCTCATCGCTCACTAGGCCTGCCTGACTCAGTTACTCGCGACCGCATGTGTTACAGCACCGTGTGCTCGATTTCGATGGCTTACAACCCATCGGTGCTTGCCACTTCCATACTTGCCGCTTCTCTGCACTTCGGCAATTGCCTTCGTGATTAGATCGCGCCATGCACGCCGATCAACCGCCTTCGTTATATATATATATATATATATATATATATATATACCATTGCAAATATATGACGCCTTGTAATAGATGGTGCTTATGACAGCCATGCGAGACCAAATTTACAGGGGAGGCTGTGGACGGTTAAATGTGAAGTCAAATTTGATAGAAGTGGAATCGATCAACCCTTTCATCACGTAGTTGAGGCTTGAACCTATGAGATTACATGATCTCTTTATATCTGGATGAGCACAGTACTGCTCCTTGTTTACCACGAAATCATTGATACTCTCGGCTGAGTCCTATTCAAATACAATGAGCCCATGCTTATGTGATGTGCCTAGATTGTCTGGTTACACAACCCCGTCTTACACGCTGGGCGACATGAAACAATTGCTTATCTGCGTCATGCGGATGCCATTTGGTTCATAATGGCACGGGTTTCAATGTTGTAAGTCAGCGTTGCTACCCGGTTGAGGATGATAACTCAGGTCTAACTTTTCATAAGCTTGCACAGATACTGATTCGGGATAAGCGACAAGCAGTGCGGATTGCATGCAACCGACATATGCCGGTGATAACATCAGTATCAGGTGAGATCGTTTGATATTCTGCTTATAGAGTTACTGTGCGACAAAACGGCATTGTATGAAGCAAAATTATTCTTCACTAAGAGGTCCCAGTCCCACTGAGCTAATAAACGTATCCTGTTTAAAAGGTTTCGTAACACTGCGGACACGGCTTGACGATTCAGTCGCTCATTTGTTCACTGAGTTTAGCAATTTTTGCTAATGTTTCACCACCAAGCGAAGTGTCATCAGCAAGATTACCCTCGGTGTACCAGCGCACTGACGGTGGAACGTTTGCAAACAAATTTCCAACCTCGGGAAACAAATGAGCGACTGTAAATTGTCCCGCTTTCAAATTTCTCAGAGCACACCAGTTACCAATGCGAATCACACTTTGCTTAGTTGAGCTAATTACTAAAAACTGAAGGGAAGTTCACACTGAAAAAGTTATCGAGTCTACTTCACGTGAATTGTAATTCTCCATTTTATTCCCCGTAGGTTGGGTTCTGCTCCGCTCAATGTGAGCGGGACACCTGGACGTTGGATTGGTGGCACATGAGTCAAGTTGAATCACACGGCGAAATCGTGGACAGACCTGATTTGGATCAGTTCCATCGCTTCGAATGTGGTCAGCGCTCACGAATCACGCTGAAGGATGTGGGTGGATTGCTGTGGCTTCAAGGGTCCGGTGGTGCAGCATGTACATCCTCGAGGCTACAGCGCTACCACAGTTGGCTGCGCCAAGTTACTCCAATTGAATACCCGATTTTGGATGTGAGCGATTTTATTTTGGCATTTGCTTGTGTCGCTCGCACTCCTTGGAGGACAATATGGAGACTGGCGAGGGTAAGTCGCAAAAGATGCCGTGACAGTTGATTGCTGCATATTTGTGTCTACACAACATTTATAGCATGTTATGAACGTGCTCACTTTACAGTAGTTATTCGCAGCTGATTTATTGTGACTCCATGTTTGACCGTCGGCTAGTTCTCAGGTTTATTGCAACATATCAAGTGTGGTCTGTTGTTGTCTCGCTATTTCACAGGGCCAGCCGGATGACAGCAACAAGAAGATCGCACACTCCGGAAATTCCTTGAGACCACGGTCTTCTCTGTTTGCTTTCTCTGGCCACGAAACCGTGCCCGCTGCCGTCATCAGAACAGGTACATATGAGTCAGTGAGTTGGAGGAGTCCTGGACGAAAGGAACGTTCTGTGGAGGATTTGTGGCAACGGACTGTGGCCGCCGTGTTTCTCGCTCACTGTTTATCGGTAAGTGCACTTTCCCATTCCCCAAAATACTCCAATATGCTACTTGCAACTTTGTTCTCCTCCTAGGTGATGTCAGGATAATCGTCGTTGCCGTAACATTGACAAACAATTTCAATGGGGCGCGTTTGTGATACCCATCTTATTGCTTCACGGAATGCTATCCAGGGTGTGACAAACACCACACCAGTAAATGCAAATTCTACGCTTATGTTTACGTAGAGTTACGCTCGTAGCAAAATGATCGCTGTCGTTTTTCTAAGTCATGGAGCAGAAATATTTTGTCCCATTTCTATTGTCACAGGCTGGTGGCTACCCTCTTGACTGGGAAGATGATCCAATGTTGAATCCTTCACATGCACTAACAGGCGAAGATCGATCCGCACTCCCGGCTTCCTGGGCTGCTGCCTGTCTGTTATATCATCTCCAAGCAGACATGCGTGCAACCCGCTGCCAAACCGTTGTCTGTCAGGAACAAGACGCGGTGAACTCATCTGGAACCGTATGCAATCGAATTCAACTAACCCCAGTTTCCAGAGGGATATATGCGCTTTTAAGCCTGACCTCACATTCTTGCAGTCAGATCAGCGCTATCATTACAGTAGATGAGGTGGGTGAGGGATTGTTTGCATACAAAACAATTAGAGCTGGTGAGGAGATTTCTTTCAGTCTTTGCAACAATTACTACGGCGCCGCGAGACAAGAAATTTTACTTAAACGCTTTGGATTTCACTGTGACTGCCTAGCGTGTTGTGAGAGCTGGCCAGTTAAGCTTGTTGCAGAATGCACGCTGCGGTGTAAGAGTTGTGGAAAACTGCTTGTTGCGCACGGTCGCATGTCAACTACGCCAATTGTTCCTACTGAATGCCGCTGCCAGCTGCGTATCAGAGGTCATCGACTGTCAGAAATCATGCAGCAATATGACCTGCAAATCGCCATGCCGCCCACCATTATACGTGGTTTTGAAAACGTTCCGCTTCCTCATATTTCCGGCTCTGTGTTGGACCGGCGTATCACTGAAGTGGTAAAGAAAATCAGGGTGTTGGAACAGCATGAATTATTCCGGGAGCCGTGCGGCATCTTGACTACACTGAAGGACCAGCTTCATATACTACTAAACTCCCGCTATGGACAGCATTATACATTGTCAGCTTTAGTAGCAGAAACACGTGACCCACCTCGAATGCTACCTGCTCCGACTTGCTGATTACCTTGCCATTGTACTAGCTTTGATCTGCAACAGTGTGGCTGGCTTCAGTCAACCTTAATTAACCATGTGCCACTGCTTAACTTTCTGCTGTTCACCTTTGAAAGCGTTTTCCAGATACAGATGATAACTCTGCTACTAACTTTATTCCATTACTGTAACTGAGAACGACAATATTTTGTGTTGGAAAATACGAGTTTTGTATTATTACGCACTGGTTTTTAGTAGGTATGAGTAATGACATTCGACTTGGTTGATGCTTACGGGCTGTGGGCGACATGGCCCTCAGTTTACTCTACATCCCTGACAGATGGTCTTTTATGAGCTGCGCGGAATGCTCTCCACCAGTTCGGTCCGGGTATATTCGTTATTATTCTCACTATATGAACGACAGGGCTGAGAAATGAGAACACACACGTCAGATAGGCCAGCGCGTCAGACAGAGCTGACACGAGCATGCGGTCACTACGCCAATTGGACGATTCCTGGCTGCATATCGTGAAACTTTGCTGAAATTGCAGCAATGTTGCATTCTGTCGACAAGTTCTCCTCAGTCGGTTGGAGATAGCTGGTGGTTTTGTAAACCTTCAGTTGGCTTGATCCGTGTTGGAGGCATGGAGGGTATCGCAGACTTTGTGGTGGACGCAAGACCCCACAACATCGCATAAGCCCTGTCCAAGCAAGCTACAATTATGCTCAGCCCTCGATTTCATCTGAACCCGCATGTTATACGAAACACAAGCTACTTCTCGTTTGACTCAGCAGACCGGGGCTAATTGACACTTCACATACGTCCGCAGCCTTCCGCGTGGAATTTAGGCTGCACACTCGCGTATTCGCTATTGCTGGAATGTAAAACACTATCGAAGCCATGTCTTCACCCTGTCTCTCGCTTGAGTTCCGGTGCGTTAGGGCTGAGGGTTGTTTTTCGCAGGCAAAGGAAGCATTTCCCAACGTGTTGTTCACTTCAAAGATATGATTCACGAGGACTGTGTCGTTGGCTAGAACTAAACGGATTGTCACAACTAGGCCGCTATAACACCGACTGCAAGACGGCTACATACGGGGACGGCAAACCAACGCGATGGGTGATAGATGGCTTCACATTGTTTAAGTGGATGATGGTATCCTCTTGGTTGACCAATCAGGAGGTCGTTTTGGGTTGTTGTCTCACGGCCTCTAGGCCGCTTATCATATCTCACTATACGGCCATGTTGCCGCTCTCCATATGACCAGGCTTACAGAACACTGCCTTGAATCATTCGAAAACAAACAAATGAAGTCATTGGATCCCATGGAATATATTTGGAACCGATCGAAAATTGATCATTTCATAAGGCTTGGTAGACGACAGGTTAATATATCTGTCATGTCGCAAAACGTTTCGCTTTTAACTCAAAAGCTTCTTCAGGCGAAGTGAATTAACTTAACATTGGCACTTTATAACGGCCGTGTGTAAGCTACCTACGGAGATTACTAAACTTGCAGTCCATTGGTGAGAGGTTACAGCGGTCAAAATTCACCATGTTCGTGTGTACTCCGTGGATTGCTTCAGCCAGGGTCAAATGGCCAACAAAAGATGCTGGTCTGAGGTTAGTTACATGTATACTCTGCAATCTTAAGGGGTCCCTTGGAAGGAACTTGCTCACTGATAGAATTTGTCTTCGGTACTTAGGAATTTGGTGAAGGGAGTGTTACTAGTACATTTCGACTTCGGATCCACCCGCCAATGCTTATCAACCTGGCCGGAGTAAGACTGGACACCAGGCACTAGAAAACCACCACTCCGTCTACCATATTCACGCAGTTGTTTGTCTTAATTATTTCTATAGACTCAGCAATTAGCCTTTCTTAAGCTGATCGCAATCCCTCGACATTTTCGGTCAATTTTGTGCCCTGTATCTATCGTGTGTATTGATATCGCCGAGTCTCTGAGCAGAACTTCATAGTCAACCTCGTTTCTCGGAGGTGGTGATATATGTCGCCAGTGTTCTGAAATGCTTGTACGTACTTCCCGCGCCGTTTGGCCTATATACATCTGCGTACAACCATAACATGGAATTTTGTAAATGCAATTAGTTGCTCTATCAAACGAAAGGAAATCCTTCAAATGCACAAGCGTCGGCCGTATCGTTTTATCCTTTTGGAAACGACCCCTATCTTCTCCTAATTCAGTACCTTCCGAATCGCTTCCGAAATTCTCTCTTTAACGGTGAACTTACTGTCGCTATACACCCTGCGGTTGGTCATGTGCGTGGGTGGCGACAGTTCTGTAGCTGTAGTTGCATCATTCGTTTCGTATATCCGCTAGCTACTAAGTTTTTCATCGACTCCTTTTGCGCTGATTTTCTGTTTTCTTTCTGTGTACAGAGCACTTGCTCTGTGAAAGAGTGGAGAAACCATTCCCGCATAAAGGTGCTTCGGGTGGCCTGAACTATAGTTAACTAACCCATCTAGGTCCATTGGTTTGCGATACATTGCAGTTTTAACGTTCTTCTGTTCCTGTGGACCAGACAATCAAGGATCGTTGGAGTACCACCCTGTGACTCAGATTCCATAGGGAACTTTATGGCATCGTCACTTGAGTACAAATACCTAAAGATTCCCACCTTGCTATCCATTTTAATAATCACAAAGTTGCACACACTTAGCGCTCCCATACTCCCAGAGCGCTAAGAAAAGTTTGGAAGGCCTTCTGTTCAAACTCTTCTATGCTAATGTATTGGAGCTCTCATGGCCAGACCCTGTTCTTGAGTGTTCATTCTCGACTGAAATGTGAAACAAGTCATGTCGAGGCACAAAGCTGTCCCCTCGATGAGTTGTCCGTTGTAAGTCTTGATATATACCCTAAGCTGCTGCATCTTATCAAGCACCTCATCGTTAATGGTAACGCTTCCTCTTTGGGTACATAAGTAAACAAGGAGGCAACACGGAAACTGAGCATCAACTCAACTTGTTCGATGTTCACACTCCATATCATTCGCGCAAATTCATGATCGTTCGTTACAAATGAGCTCGTTCTCCCTATTAGGGATTGCAGTAGGTTCGCTACATATCTCGCGAGTTCATGGGTGGGGGAAGCTATGCCATCCAATATAGGTCGCAAAGAGCAGTCGTGCTTAAGTATCTTTGGCAAACGGTAAATTCTAGTTGGAATAGCCGAGTTCAGATGAATGTCGTACCACTTACACTTTCCTATACTGTCATTCACAGTACTTAGATGAACACGGACATCTGATTTCATCTGTACGCACAGAGACACCAGTCCCTCCGGGTTTTCAAAGTTGGGTTATGATTTACAAAGCTTGCAACCGTCTTCGCCTAAGTTGTTCGCGTTCGGCGACGAAAACCGACCCTTCTGGTTACAGTGGTGAGATATTAGCATGATAATTTTCTGAAAAACACTGCAATCATGGACAAATAGGGGTGAGTAATGACTGAGTTGGATCAGCGCAAGGCAATGGCATTCTGTCCCTCCAACAACACCTGTCAACAATCCTCGGGCTCTGTTCTACCGGATAGGTCAGTACGAATGACAGCAATCGATGTGTTTGGAATGCCAACTTGCACCGGTTCCTACCTGTCCAGAATGTCAATTCGCAACCTTATGTGAACAAGGTCTCCAAGTGTCACTTGGTCACAGACTGTGGTGTAAGGGCATCCAGTTGATTTATGCTTTGCAACCTAGAAATGAAGTATCACTCGCCCCACATGAGACCTTCGGAGTGCGTAGTAAGTGCTTTCATTCGGGGCTAACGATTTTCAAAACAAGAAAGTCCGGTGAGTCCATCTGCACCTCTTTGGGCATTTCTACCTTCCAGTCTCTTTGAATTGAAATAAGCAAGCTTGCGGTGGTTGTCGCGTCGATGGGGCTTTTCACTGTGTGTTATTATCGCTAAGGCGGATGTTGCATTTTTGATGCTTCTTCACCGCAGTTGGGCTAAACCAAATTACACTTAAACTAGATATTTTTAAATCGGATAAATTGCATTCCACTTCATTTGGTTTGTTCTGCCTACCTGAATAATCAATTAACTGGCCATCTTGCTTATGCTAATTGTGGTTATTTCCGTTAACTTTATCGAGTTTGCAGCATTTGTTGAGTAACTTCTGCACATGTTGTACTTAGTGCGGATTCGTTGCTAACCAACATAATTAACATGCTAATATAGGGTAATGTCTGCGTAGCCGTATTCTTTAACAGATATATCTTATTTGCTAATGTCATTTGAAGTGATTAGCTGTTGTTTGACATCCCCGGTCTGGCTGCGCTTGATGTGCATGTTGACAAAGTGCCTACCTGTCTATTACCCACTAGATCGATCATACTGCCTCTAGGAGACAGTTGGTGGTTGCTGGTGGGGACAGGATACACCTTCCACATGACGGCGCTGGGCTCAAAGTGTGGTTCCATCCTTTGTGGAGCGCGCTACGGTTCAACCACCGTCATGTGTACGTGTGGTATGCATGATTTCCCACGTAGGCCGGAATGCTTCCGTTCTACTTGTTGAAGGAGGGTGGGCCGGCTCCGTTGATAAAACGTGGCTCCCATCCACATGCCTCCCGGTCTTATTCCTTCGGGTTTCCACTGGATATGGGGTGTGTGGATGGAGCTGTGGGTGGTGCAGCGCAAGCCACCCATGGTCGCTCTGTAGGCGCAGGCGTTCTGTGGCTGGCCACAGTGACAGGCAAATCCGAAACCGGATGCCGCCAACCATATGGGAGGCCAATCTTGTGACAGTCTTCTGAATCACATTCAGTCAGTCTGCATGTGAAAGAACGCCGAGCTGAAATGATTGGACCATGTGTCAAAGTTTAACCGCTAGACACCCCCGGTTTCGCAGGTCACTGAATTTCACTCGGGTACGTCCGTGACTGCAATTGCCAAGCATTTCATGGAATGCATGAGCGCTATCCGAAGCGCAGTCATGCGTGCAATGATATTGTCCTCAACCTAGCACGTCATGAGCTTTGCTGTATGGGAAATGGAAAGCTGTGCT